TAGGTATCTCTATTTTTTTTATAAAAATACTTTTAATAAAAATACTTTTAATAAAGATATTTATATAGTTTATAACGATTTTTTTCTTTTTTTTTCGTATTTTTATAGGTCAAAATCCAGGCTGCGGCGATTGTCTGAAAGCATTAGAAAGGAAACCAGGAATAGTAGCAGTAACCCGGTGATCGGCCAAGGTGACACGATTATCGGTGAGAGGAATGTATTAAATGAGATTTTTTCAGCTACTACAATTTCATTCTATTAATTTCTAAACATACATGGGCGGAAAACGCTATATTCGATCAAAACAGTTTTTCGTACCTAATAATATTTCTTGTAAATTTATATAATTTCCAGTTCAAGCAAACTATACGTTGATTATTTGTCAATCTTGAAACACAGTTCTCTAAACCAAAGTTAGAGTAATATCACAAATTAAATTGACAAGCATTTTAATATTATTAATGTTATTAATTTTTAGTTTATTTTTCTATAAACTATTTCCTTTTCAGCGTGCTCGTCATTGCCAAGCAAAAAGACAATCAGGCCGTCTCAGAGTGATAATACTCCGCGAGGCGTTACAAGAACACAGACGATGAACAATCCCGTAGATCCGCCACAGGAGACCTTATCAAACACCCGGCATAATGGTAAAAATCTTACACTAATAATATTTCAATTTTATGGTAAGCATGGAGATTAATTGACGAGCGTGTCTATAACATCGGAAATTAAACTCATCCAGATTATATTGATCTCCAAGAAATTTCAATTACTGCATTTGCGATAAATTAACAGTTAGAAACGTGGCGACACAGTACGGATGTAATTTGACGAACGGAAACATACCCCCAACAGCGGCCAAAAGTTGCTTCTACTTTAATCAGCAGCAGCTGTCGAAATCCCAGCGTTCCATTCAATCAGATCAGATGACCATGGTGAGTATAAGATTATTTTCTTGTTTATCTCACACTCCTCCATGTTTGCTCTGTCGCCTCCTTGTTAAGAGTCATCTTATCACGGAAAGGTAAATGGTAAATTTTGTTATTACAGGCTGCATGTCGTGTGGGATTTGCGTTTAGTAGGTACTGTAACCACTCATTTTATGCATCACCTAGCAGATTGCATTCGACATTAATTTATGCACGCTATACACACGTTTGAGAGTAAACTCTTAACCCCGCCGTAATAGCAAGTGCCGCATAAATGATATAGTTTAGGTAATTCTTTATCCCGACAAGAAAATAAATTTTGAATAACGATAAAGTAATAAACGAAACATTTAAGAATTTTAAGCACGACCGTATGTGTGAATACATCAAATACAATAAAGAAAACCAAGAACAATAAAATTTGGATGTTTCAAACAATACATTATATATTCTTATATTAAATTAATTTATTTCAGATATGATTGAAAACCGAAAAACTTTCGGTTTCAACACAATTATTCTGAAACGCTAAATTAGAATAGATAAAAAGAAAGTAAGAAACTCATTGCGAAAAATATTACCTCAGCCAGGATTCAAACATGGGACCTCTTAATTTTCCAGGAAGAGTGTCTTATATCTGAAATAAATTAATTTAATATATAAGAATATATAATGTATTAACTTTGAAAATGATCCGAAGGTGGTCGAAATGTTAGTTTGATGTAGACATATTTTTATTTTGTTTTTACTTTTATTTTACTTAATGTCAACTGTATCATATGTACATTAATATTTGTTCTGTTTTGGCTTGTAGCTCTTCTGATTATATTTTGTTTTATTTGAATTATTTTGAGCCTTTCTTTATTATGGCTGCGTTCCGTTTCACGCATGATGTGCATAATGCATCATTTATCCTTGTTTAACATTCGGTGAATAATCAGAATAAATAATGTAGCATGCGCATCATGCATGAAATGGAACGTAGCCTATGTATTTATATAATGTATTATTTGAAACATCCAAATTTGACTGTTTTTGGCTTTCTTTTATCGTATTTGATGTAATAATTAATGATGCGTTTCATTATCACAGGGTTAAATCATCCTCAGGAGTTTAATTGTGCATCATATACAGCTGGTTAAAATTACAAAAGCAAATTTACTAGTGTTGACCAATGAAATTATAAATATTCTAATAAATTTGCTTATTTTTGCATTTTTCTTCAAGTTGTATAGTACACAATCGAACTTATGTAACTCATTTATGTTGTCTTACACGTTCTGTCTCCTTAGATCCGATACCCTTCCTTACCTGCGTAGTGTCTCCTGCATTTTAATTCCAAACTTCATTTCTCCTCAAACCCCCCAGACACCCGCTTCCACAATCTCCTATCAGTCCCCTCTCATCGCTCTGCCAAATTCTGTGCAGCTTTTTTCTATACTTCGGTTAAATACTTTAATATGCTCCCATCCTTCGTTAAAGACTCTCCTTCCCAGACTTCTTTTCGTTCTTCCGCTGCGGATTTCATTGCGTCTCTCGCGACATTGTGATGAGGATGCACATGTAATATAAAGAAAATACTATGCAAATGTTATAATGTAATGCAAATGTTATTTTATTGTTAAAAATTCTGAATAGGTTTATTTTTGGTTATGTTTTATTTTTTGTTTTTTTGTTTTTATTATTTTGCGTGCTTATGTTCATTTATATCTAGTGTGTTTAATCTTGTTTAATCGTCTTACTGGCCGATTTGTAACAGCAGTTCTGCTGATGTCTTGCCATTTGTTATGTATAAATTTTATACATTGCAATAAAGTATATGATGATGATGATGAACTTCAGTTTTCATCATATATGTTCTCTGCATTTTTGTCGAATTTGTTGATAGCCATACATCAAAATCAATTCACGCTACTGCATACATTCGTATCGATATTTCATCGTGCTTATGGAATTTCTTCAATTTCAGTACGGCGTCAGAGGCCGATCAAACCAATTAACAGCAATAGCACAACGTACCAAACCGCGAAGAGTCAGCAGGCAACAGATCCTTACACAGGCACCAAGGCCCTTCACCTCGGCATCTGCTAATTGTCGTGGCGACAATCATTGGTCTAAAAAGATGCCGACGAAGCTGATCAGGATCAGCGACAGTCCGAATACAATTAAACAACCCAGCAACGTTGCAAAAACTGTCGTCAGGACCATGGACGTTAGGACCACGGGAGTTAGCAGTCCAGAATCGCCATGTATCGGCCAACAGTCGCAGGCCATCCGTAACTATTTCAATCAGGTGCCATTGCTGACTCAACAGCAACCTCAAGTGCGGAATCGGACCTCTTGCCGCGATAGGGACAACTTCGTCAACAAATCGTTCCCCGTGGATACTGTGACCAACAATTGTTTTACAAATGCGGCGCGCGGACAAGGCAGCAGATTAAACGCGAAGCATAGCTTCGACGCCAACTACGTCGGTCAGAAGAGACCGTCGACGACGTGCAACAAATCGAGGTTTCTGAACAGCCACAGTCAGAGTCATGGCGTGATAGCGGAATCGGTTTACAAGGATCTCTGTAATGGGACTATAGGATGGTGAATGTGCGGCGGGTAAGCTTCCCCGAGGATGATGAACAACGATCAGACAGGAAAATCATGCGACGATTGCTTTACTTTTCTCTCGAGAAAATCCAGATACAGACGAAACGTTCAAACTAATCGTGCACTTTTCAGCGAGATTTTTTTGCGAGAAAGATATGTTCTTGAGCGTCTCGAGGATCTTTACACGCGGAGTTTATGGACGGAATTCGGAAAAATTCTGTAGTTGAAACGCTTTCAACTTGCAATTAGATCAACGCGGACACAAAACACGCAATATTTTTAAAGAATATCATTTTTTTCTATTTCTTCTAGATCTATTTTGTAATAATATATATAATTGATATTTTATCGATAGTTTTTTTATATATTCGTCTTGTAGTTTGTTGTAATGCAAACAACATTTTGTAGTAATTATATATATAGTTCACATTTAATGAACCTTTTTTTATATTCGTGTTATAGTTTGCTGTAATACAAACAATTGTATAGCAAAAGTGATTGTATAGCAAATTTTTATTAATAATTCCGCGATAAGAAACAGGCGGTCGTCGTAGATTATCCTAAAAATTCGTTCATTCATCCTCGGGCAAGAAGCATGCCGCCTCATGAGAACGTGAACGCGATCCAAGATTCCTGAGTAAATAAATAAATTTTACACAAAGTAGATGCATAATTAATGGTATCAGCGTGCTTTCGAGTTCCTACGGATATAATCGGAGTCAAAAACGACTTCATTCCAAGGAACACACAAATAAAAAAAAAATATCAATGTTTGGAAATAGATATGATCTTCAAGATTACTACCTCGTACCATAGCTACTTTTTATACTACGTAAAATAAAAGGCAAATGGGAGATGAGCATTTGAATGCAGTTTCTCTCCTTTTTTGTAACGAAAATGCGACAATAAGTGAGATCGTATAACAAGACAATAAGAGATCAAAAATTTGTTTTTACGGAAAAGGAAATGAAGATCTTTTTTTTTGAAGTATCGTCGCAATTGGGAGTACTTTCAACCATCCATTTCGACAAACAGCAGAAACGAAATAAAGAGCAGAAATTGCGTGGAGACTGCAATGATTATCCCGTGGGAATACGAAAAACGTAGGAATTTAGGACGTAAGCCATACGATTCATGTGGGGCCATACAGCGGAGCGTACATATTTTTCTATGCCATTTTATTTGTATGACGTGAATATATGAACACGTACACGACACACGCATATATACATGCACGTACGCACTACTACTAGGTATCTATCATCGATTTAGTGTACAAATCTCATTGTATCATACCTTGTGTCGTAATGTCATTGCGCAGCGATGATTGACAGCGCTCGGACTTATTACGTGCTATTCGTATTGTGAGAATAAAATTTTAATAAAAAAGAAAGAGTCTTTTTATTAAAGAGGAAACAATTGATAATAAACGCCTATTCTCAGAAAAAAAATTGGTACAGTGGAGCAGCTAGTTAACGTTATCCGTTTGTGGTACATAAAGTACTCGACTCTAATTGGCTGGTCTTTAATTCATACTTGTCCTTATTCTGTTGGCGATCCCTCCTGTCATGTCCTGGAGCAATCTGTATGTTCGAATTGTCATAAATATTTTTCAATTCAATGTTGATACGTTTCAAATTATACGAATGACTGCTGCGTCCTGAGAAAAGCTGTTGAAATGATGTAAAGCCTCTTTGCTGCTGTTCTGCTAGAACACATTGTTCCTTTGTCACAGTTATCAGCTTTCGCTTACAAGGGATATATGGCACGTCATCAGCGATCGTCATCGCGTTCTGCAACAATGTAAAAAGAATAACTAATTTTCAATTTTGTTATCAATCGAGATTAGCGAAGTTAGGGCATCATATTTTTAATTTTGTTTTTGTTTAATATAAAAAATGCGGAATTCTTTTTTATTTTTATAAAGAACTGTAGAACTATAGGGTAAGTGGTCCAACAATGAACCATGTGAATTTCAGAGGCTTATATCTCTTTTAATTATTGAATTGAAGATCTGAGTTTTGGCATACAGTTCATGAATTTAGTTGGCTACATACTGTAAACAATAAAAACAAAAACAAAACAAAAATTTTAAGTTATTTTTTAAATTTAGCCACAATTTCGATTATTTAAAAAATCGGGAAGTGGTTCATTGTGTACAAGGGGTGTGTACACAATGAATCATGCTATTTTTAATAATAAACTACATGTTTTATACTGCGAACTGTTGAGATTATTTTAGTTTTGCTATATTTTAAAATGTTTATTTATAAAATAGATAAGGTGGTGAGGATTCACAAGACCGACCACCGCGTTTTTCTTTCGTTTTGAATGAAAACGCGTCAAATGAGTATATTTTTATTGAGATTTTAAATGGGGGAGGGGTTGTATTCTAAATAACTATTACAATGAATTATTATTTTGAAGGTTATTGTAAAAAAGGTTATGTGGTCTACAATATACCATGGTTCATTGTTCACTACGTCAAAATGATTCATTGTAGACTAACCTTTTCCACGATAATCTCCTAAATAAAAAAAAATGTGGTAAAATAATATAACAGAAAAAGTTATAGAAGCTTATAGAATAATAAAGTCAAATGTGTACAAAAAACTATTGCACAATCAAAAAAAATGATAGGCATAACAACAAAAACATAAAAAATGTGTAAAACTTACGAAAAAAACTTACTTTGCAACCCAAAATTTTTTAAATGTGACATTACATGATCCTTGACGCGATCTGCCAGTTGACTGGGGAACCGAGGAGGGGTTTAAATGCGAGTCGCTGCATGATAACAGCACAATCTGATAACGTCGCATTTATGAAATATCGCAATGGTTCATAGTGTACTTCTGGTTCACTATTGGACTACCTACTCTATATAAAAGTGTACAAATTAATTCGGTGTCTTTTTCATAATTCAAAGTTACTCACACAAAGACAAGTACACATTTAATGTTCGAAATAGTCTCTATTGTTTTTGATGACTTTATACTATCTTTCGAGCAACTGACGAATGCCCTCGCGGAAGAAACTTGGCGATTTTAATTCGATAAAGTCATCGATAAAGGCACCGAATTAATTCGTACATCTAATATGAAAAATGTTACTAGAACTATCATTTTTTAAATATTAATACCGTAAAATTAGAGCATGACATTTTATTAATATGACAAAAATACTGGCAGTTTTAATAGCATTTTTCATAGTTTACAGTTCCTTGGAGAAATAAGAAAGTTTCACATTCATCCCGTACACTAAAAATAAAATAGAAGATATAGCATGCTAACTTTGCAAATCTAGCACGACACTAAAGCACAAAAACATAAATATTATTAACTGCATTCAGCACGAAACTTGAAAATTGTCATCTTGATCTTTTTATAATTTTGTATTCTACCTAGGAAACTTATATCCAGTATCGATAACTTTTCTTAAATATTGAACTATCTAATTAAGTGTGTAGAAAATTCAATAAAAAAAAAAATATTTTTTTATGGAAGTATTTCTGATAATATCTGTCTAATGTCTAAAAATCCGCGCAATTATTATTTCGATTCGTATTTATTCAGAAAAGCAAGGGTTTTACTGCAAGGGATTATTAGTTAAACTTTATAAAAAAGTTGAGAATTTATGAAAAAAATGTGTAATTAATTTACTCTTCGCGAAGGATCATGATGCGATAGATTATTGGAGACACAACATAAAATCTTCACAAGTTTCTGACGAAGACCACGGGTCATCCAACAATAGACCACAGGATTCAAAGCACTGTTTGCATGTCCCAAAAATAAGAAGTACTTTAGTGTGTTATTTGTTGACGTCGATGGGCCTGTAAATAAAGTGTATAAGAAATTTATTGAAATTAATTAATCTGTACTTATCGTTGTGAAAAAGACTGCATTTTTATTATTAGATTAGGTTATTTTTATTATTATATGTAGATTCTTATTACAAAATTTACTTGGAGATCGTATATAGTTACAGAAATCATCAGGAATAGAAAATATATCAAGTACTTATAATTGATATTTCAGTTACGAAATATTATCTTTGCAAAATATAGAAATTATTGCAAGATTTCGTACTTACCGATAACGTCGAGATCAATCAAAAATTTGGCAATATTGTAGGGCATCCAGCACAGAGCGAATAGTATAGCGAGGAATAGTAATATCAATGCAACTCGTTTTCTTTCATGTCGTAATTTGGAGCTCTATGAATAAAAGATATCAGCGTATCTAGAATAGATCTCGCAAATTTTCGGAATTCGGCTGCGTTTTTAGGAAAACTTTAAAATTATTGCTAATACTTTAATTACAAAATTTTAGATCTCTCATTGATCTGACCTGCCGCGAGCTAGCGCTTTCCCTGTTATCGTAATCGAAAGGTGGCTTTTTAGACCAAAGAGTGAAGCCAATCATCGAGTAGGCTAGTAATACAACGAAACCTAAATACACAATAAGGAAACATGTAAAGAAAAAAAAACAAAGACTATTCTATTAAGTACGTGCTCCAATCATGGGCTTGTGCAAGAGTAAATGTATAAAAATCTTCTAAACTAAAAAAATGTAATACTGTTCTTGTTTAATAAAAGTAACAAGATAATATTAGTTTAATCGCCTTTACTCAGAAAGCATTGTGTACGGAAATTGAAATAATAATACACGCATACATAAGCAAACATCCGCTTATGTGTAGAGTCAAATTTAAATTTAGATTGTAGATTTTAAGATTTATGTATGGCAATATGTGTGAAAGCAAGAATTTGTATGTTTGTTATGAAAAAATTATATAAAGAGAAGGTTCTTGTAATATCACAGAACAATAATAAACATTTATTTATGTATTTAAACTTACATGGAATAGCGATAGAGAATACGAAGTGTATGCTTCCGAAGATGTCTCGTCTAATTCCTAATGACATGAAATCCTCTATACACATATTGAAACCTGGTGGTATTGGCGAGATGCTATTGTGTGTAAAATTCTCGCTTGCCATTAAATCCAGAGCTTTGTTGATAACCTCCGTCATTGGATCCTGGAGTCTCATCTACGTAAAAAAAAAGATCATTCGCTTATGTCATATATATGTAAAAAGTGTATATATATAAAATAGATGTAACAGTCTCCACTTCATCATTAGTTTCCACAATTAATCAGCACAGACTTGGTATCAAAAGACTTACCGCTCCGTAGATTGTAATAAAAAAAGCCATGGATGCCAGCCAAATAGATACGATAACGAGAATAATATTCTTATGACTACATATATAGCGGAGAATCATGGGATTTCTTATGGCCAGATATCTATCGATGCTCATAGCCATAATAGTATATATTGAGGCAGTAACACCTACACCTGTTGCACGCACGAGTGATTATGCAATTAGAAAATTTATAAATGTAATAAAAAATATATATTTTTGTATATCACACACACGCACACGCGCACGCACACACACACACACACACACACACACATATAGGGAAGGTCCTTATTATGAGATACCGAGTTCATTTTGGGTAAATGCTAGAAGTCTATGAGCAGAAGTTAAAAAAATAATAGATCATTTTAAAGGAAATTTAATAAGCTTTAAGATAATGTTATGTAAAAAATTTAATTCAAATTTTACTTTTTTTGAAAATTAAAGAAATGTAAAACGTGAGCAAATCGCAAAGTCAAAAAATTGTGCTCCTAATATGAAATGACCCGAGAAATTGATAATAAAACGCAAAGTACATCAGTATTGCAATTAAAAAACTTCATGTAATGTTTCTAAAATATAAACAGACACAGCCAATGTGCGCGCAAAATAAGCATGCGATGCAATGTACTCAGGACGTCTTCAGGTAGTTGAAATTAATTGTAAACATCGCAGAAACAGGCAGTCGATGTTCATTCCGATTGTCCTTTATTGTACAATAACATTCATATTTTACCAACGATTTTCACTATAATGCAGGAGGATTAGGTTATTTCATATTAGAAATACCCTGGGTGTCTCATATTACGATTTCCACGTTTTATGGTTTTATGATCATCAAATCTAACATCTGTAATTAAGCAATTCAACATATCCCGTATTTTTCTATTAATACTTACTCTATCACTACATGAAGAATTTATTGCCAAATATTTACTTAAATAATAAACAAGGTTTAAAGGCTCATCTCAATGAAACTTCCAAATTCTAAAATCTTTTTTTACAAGACTACAGGCATGACCTAATAATGAATTTTCTACTAAATAATTTTTAATCCAAGAGCAATAAATTCATAGTGGAACCAATAGATAGCATTTATTAGTTTAGCAGAAACGCCGCTATCTCATATTATGCGCCTATCTCATAATAGGGGGCTTTTCTCTATATATTTCCATTCAAATCGGATAATTATTTATATTTACAATGTTTTTTTATATATATGTAAAATGTCATGCAGAAAATATACACAAGTACAGTAAGTGATTAAATAATCAACAATATTATTCACATAATAAAATAACATAAAAATACATACAAATGATAAGTGCGATCAGACTGGATTATCAATTATTGAGAGCTTTGTAAAAATTCTTACTTTGCAGATAAGAAGTTAATTTGCACAGGAATTCACTGTGATTCCATGACATCGATATTTCCTGGCTGATTGTCATTGGCATGCATATTGTGGCAACCAATAAATCAGCCATAGACAGATTAATCACAAAATAATTTGTAACGCTGTAAGAATTGTATCTTTAATTTTACACACATAAGCAAAGTCTGTCTTTTTTCTGTGATTTATTTATGTATGTATAAATTTAAATATATTAATAAAATCTAAAGCTCAATTATATTTTCTACTAATATTTTATAAATAAAAAATTGTTTATTTTACGATCATATTTGTGTTCCGTTAATTTAATGAATATTTTATGCTGATGAGAGAAATGTTTAAGTTAATTCTAGCAACTTTAGTTAAGAATATTGATAAGTGTAAATTTTTTACAAACAAAAGTAAAGTTCGTAGAATATTAGATTTTAGAATGTGGTACAAACTCAACAAAAGAAGGTTTTTCAGAAGGCTCACATAAATAGCAGCGCATAAGATTTTCGGTTTGTTTTAGTACGAAGTTGGTATAATGCTTCGCGTAACCATATATTCAAATTTTCAGAAATTTATTAAATTATTTTTAATAATCACCAAATCACTGAATTTATATACATATATATATATATATAAAATATTTTTATTAAACATAATTTAATCAATAAAATTTAACACAATACTTGTGTTGCGTTTGATAAAAACAATCTTCACCAAGATAGCTCTAATTCCGATTGCAGAGAAGATTATGGCTCTAATGAAAAATATATTCTAGTGCAGTGTTCGTAACTGCTCAGGTATTTCACGAAGCGCTGCATATATCCGTCGCTTATTTCCGGCTTATATACGCAACGTATCATGCAAATAAACTATCCGCAAAGCATTCATAATGGACGAACGTATGTAACAGCTGCGGCTGCTGTCAGTAGTAGGTCTTCGATTATTTTTCAACCAGAAATTCGTGCTCCCACACGAAGTGCTACTGAAATCGCGTAAGATCACAATGAGCCATCGGAAAAGCCATCTCCTGCCGTCTGCTCTCCGAATTTGTTATTCAATAAATTCGGTACTGTATTGTTTGTTTCATATCGGGGATGTGAATCTAGTTCCATACATAATAAAGATTTGTAATATAGTTTGTTGGCACTTAATTAAAAAATTTTTTTTTTCAAAAAATTTGATACTACAACAAATCTGAAAATCTGTTAATAATTCAACATAGCACAATATAATTCAATTAATAAAGATATAAAATTTGAAAGATGCGGATATTAATTTCGCATCTTGTTTTGCCTATTTATTACAAATATCAGATATTAGATAATTCATAATTAGTACTCTAAATTCAATTAAAAACTTTGCATAATTACTTACCTCTTTAAATGATATTTGCAGACTACAATTATCACTAAAATGTTAGCTATCACACCGACTAGTACAGTTGGTGCGTAAAAAATAATCAGCAAGTAATCCTTATTGCTTCCATGAAAAGAATTGTAAAAATCCCATAGTATCTTGACCATAATGTCATTCTTCGATGACAAAGTTTTGTTCGCCATCATTGTGATCTTCGTGCAATCTTATTATACAACTGGATCCTGAGTCAATCAAGAAGCTACGTATAAAAATATTAAAATAGAAAGTAATAGTGGTAGTATAAATAATCGAGAACACAAAAAAAGTCGAGATTTCTTGGCACGGGTTTCGGACAACAAAAGTCTGCTCTAACGACTTTTTTCCGAGTGTGAGGAACAAGTTTTCACTGTAATACCGTGGTTTGTTACAACGCAGCGACGTACACGTACGCCGAGAGTCTCGGCAGTTGCGCACAATGTGGTCCAACTTCTCACAGTTCCGATACTTACGTTCGCAGAATCTTTTATTGGCATCAAGCTGCACGCGAGGAAAGGGTTCGCGGTGGTAACACATGGAATGTTACCAGTTACCACCATCGGGGTCGCGGTATCGGTTTGAATCATGGTCGGAGCAGACGCGTGCATGAAATTGTTTAGTGGTAGTTTTATTTCTCTTAGGCGTTTGTGTTGAATTTCCGGTGATGACTATAGCCGATTTTTGTTTAATTATGAAACTCGGTGAGATATCCACTTGATATTCGGGTTCGTTGATGCTTCCTTTCATTAATCTATAATTCACATCTGTTTTACCCTAATAGCACTTATTCGGGATACATCCTAGGGATGTCCTTAACTGTTCAAAAAGTATACGGACATCCTCTATAAATGTCCTTAGGACATCTCCTGGAGATATGTTCTGTTAGGGTATTTATACTTTTTTAACAAACAATATTATAAGATAAATTATAAAAAGAATGAATTCAAATAAAAGTTTAAAAATTTAAACTTATATTTTTTGCAATATATGTATATATCACAGCTATCATTTATTATAAATAAATTAACAGATTCAGATTTTTATTCTAAATGTTACTATTTTTTAGTTTATAGGTAACAAAAATACAAACAAAATTTTACTTGAAATAATCTTTTCTAAATTATATAATCTTAGACATTTTCTAATTTACAAGTTTTATTTTCTAAAATTTCTTATAAAATTTATTTTTTATAATATACGTATGCTATAGAATGTAGAGAGAGAGAGAGAGAGAGAGAGAGAGAGAGAATGTAGGAAACATTATTTTTCCTTCCTTATAATCTTTCTAAATATTTACGTTTCATACGTATTAATTGAATCTGTTTTTTTACTTGCTCTTATCAAGAGCAATTATTAAATCAAAGTGATAAATTTTTGATCGATTTTATGATAAACTTTAAAATAGAGTCTTCACCTCGACATCAATTTTAAACATAAATGCGCGCAATAAGATTGCTGCAACATTGTAAATTGATGTAAACGATCTATATATCAATGCCATGAATATCAATTAAGATTAAAATCTCAAATATGTATAGACATAATATCTTATATAAGCGACAAACTTTATGATATTCATTAAGAAAGCGACAATAAAATTGTAAAGAAACATCCTCGAATACAAATGCAAAAAACTTTTTCAACCAGAAATAGATATGCGCGTTGATAAATCTGTTGTTGCTTCTACTGTTTCCAAAATTTTGGGCAAAATTCTACATTTTTTTCATATACATATATTATTTAAAATTACGTTCTTTGTTATTAGTTTAATTATAGTCTAGCAACCGAAAAAGTAGATATACTTATCAAAAATCAACTTTTTATACAGTGAGAAAAAATTCGCTATAATCGCTAATCCTTTGCCGTAATGGCAAATTTCATTTGCGAATATAGGGATCGCAAAATTATATTTGCAGATGTAACAAATAAAATTTGTCGACTTATATTTGTTAACTCAGCAATCAAGATTTGCTGCAGTTCCAATAAAAATAAATATATTTGTCAAATAAGCAAAAGATATATAATTGCATATAATATTTGAAGATAAAGATTAAAATGAGATTTAATTAAATATAATTAAATGAAAGTAAAATTAAATTCCTTCTTTTTATTTTATTGCTACTTACATGTATATTAACAGAATTTGCATTATATGGAACATAAAACATATTTACACTGAAGTATAATATAATACTTTTGAGTCTTTCACGAGTCTCTACTTCAGAGATGCCAAAAGATTTATCAAGTAGGTTATCGCCGTGTCATTATCCATTGCTAATGCCAACGTTTCGTGAACCTTGCTGTTCATTTCATCAGGGCGAGGAGCGCGTATCAGTATAAAATGGAAATGCAAAACGTGAGCAAATATACGTTGTTCTAATTACAATTATATTAGTAACAAATACAAATTAATGCGTAATTTTTTTTACTCGCTACAAAAGATTATTTGCACAAAAGATCAAACGCAAAATATTTGTTAAAAATATGCAAATTTGTTTGCTATAAATAACAAAGAAATTTGACAAACACATTTTGCATTCCCTTTTGCGTTCATAGAAAATCTTTCTTCTCCGTGTACCTACGTATTAATTAATTATAAAAATATACATAACATGTGCATATTTTTAATTTTTTGTGGATGTCCACTAAGGAAGCCTGACTCGAAGCTTTGTGGTCGGCCGCAACGTTTCGTCCTGGTCCCACACTACTAAACTCATCAGTAAGGTGATGTAGTGTGGGACTTGTCTTAGACGCCTGGAATGAATCCAGAACGATGTTTCTATAAAGGGAATTCGTGTGGCTGCGGTGTTCACGCAAATCGAGTGAGTTCCGTGGATCTCTAGTAAGTGGCGAGTCGCCACAGGACTCCACCCCCGATGAAGGCACGAACCAACGGATTGCGTCGAAATGATAAATATCAGAGACGAACGCGGTAATGCTCGATGCTGCTTGGTGTTGCTCTATGCTGCTCTGTGTGCTGCTCAATGCTGCTCTGTGTGTTGCTCGATACTGCTCGGTGCCGGTATGTATGAGCGTGTGGCGAGCGTGTGTGAGCGCGTACAAGAGCGTACAAGAGCATGTGAGAGTGTGTGTAATAGCGTGTGTAAGCGTGTGAGAGCGTGTGCAAGAGCGTGTGTGAGAGCGTGTGTGAGCGTGTGCAAGCGCTCACACACGCTCTCACACGCTCTTGTACACGCTCACGCACACGCTCTCACACGCTCTTGTACGCGCTCACACACGCTCGCCACACGCTCATACATAGTGGCACCGAACAGCATAGAGCAACACCAAGCAGCATCGAGCATCACCGTGTTCGTCCCTGATATTTACCATTCCGCAATCCGTTGGATCGCGCCCTCATTAGAGTGGAGTCCTGTGGCAACTCGCCACTAGAGGTCCACGAGACTCACTCGGTTCGCGTAAGCACCGCACCGTGCGAATTCCCTTTAAATAGAATATCATTCTGGATTCATTTCAGGCGTCTAAGGCAAGTCCCACACTACATCGCCTTACTGATAAGTCTAGTAGTATGGGACCAGGACGAAACGTTGCGGCCGACCACAAAGCTTCGAGTCAGACCTCCTTACATGTGGACATTCCACATTGTGCGTGTGCGTGTTCGCATCACGTCGGGGTCACCAATGTGGAATGTCCATCAGTAAGGCGATGTAGTGTGGGACTTGCCTTAGATACCTGGAATGAATCTAGAACTATGTTTCTATTTAAAGGGAATTCGTGTGGCTGCGGTGCTCACGCGAACCGAGTGAGTCCCGTGGACCTCTAGTGGCGAGTCGCCACATTTTAATCAAATTTTTATTTATTACCATTACATATATAACAGAATCCACAACATATGATTTAGTTTAATTAACTAGTTATCTGTGTGATTCACTTACTTGAAGTATTGTTTTCTTATGTGTAATTTAATTCTAATAGAATATAAAGAAGCTAGTTTCTCAAATTTTGTTTAAAAAGTATTTTTAGAAATGAAAAAGGAAAGAGAATAAAATAATATATCAAAATATCAACGTGACATTTTTTTCTTATTTTACAGATAATTTATTACTTTATTGTGTATAAGTGTACACATTTAACATCTGATTCCAGTCTTTGTCGTTCTAAGGAATAAAAAAATTAAAGTATATATATATATATATATGATTTTTTGTCATTCAGCAAAGCTAGAATGCAAGAAATGGAAAGGACCGTTTCGTAAGAAATATATATACATATATTTATATATATATATATATATTTATTATTAATTTGAAGAAAAATGTATTTAATTTATAATATTTAATTTAAAATTTGCAAATGATTTTAAAGATAGTTTAAATACAATTTTTGAAAATTCAAGATTTGCGCTTTTAGTCTATATGATCAGTTTTCTTGTTATTATTATCAATTATAAATAATAATGTCTTTGGGTGTAATATATTTTAAAGTAGTTTCTCAATCATGTCGTTTTGAAGCAATGCTTGAATTTAATTATAATTTTTAACTTGATTTTTAATGTGTTCATGCCTACTGTCTTTTTCTTGTTCGCATCAGTGGGTGTGTTCCCTTTTTACTGGCAGTGCAACCATTATAACGTCACAACAGTGCACTGCCGCAGCCGTTCCAAAATTACTGTGGTACTGCCAGCACTATTGTAACGTCGTATTTCGGAACGACTTTGCAGTAGACTGGCAGTGTAAACAATCATGAACAAACGTACTAAATTGTCAATAAATTTTGAACGAAAACAGCAGCGATAGTTCTTCCGAAGAAGATGTACTAATTATGGGATCACCAATTCAAGCAGTTTAACCTCGTGTTAAAAACTATATGGAGACAGAGCTAATAAATATTCAGATGTGGAATTAAGAGTCATTTTCGGCAAAATGAATATATATGTGTATCTTCTGCAATTAAATATAATGTATATATTTTTTTATTTCCTGAATATTTTGACGCGTTGTGTTTCTTTAAGCGACGCCATATTGCACTGTAACTGCTTCACCTCGAAAGCCGCAGTAGTCGCAGTGGCAATATGGCTATCATTTATGACGTTATTGAGGGAACTAGACGCTGTCACAGCGCGTTGCGTAGTAATAGCGGAACAATTTTTCAGTACTACCAGTACTGGCAGTGTATATCGGAACACACCCCGAGTCATTTGATGCGTGATTAACGCGTAATTCATTTTTTTTAAATATTAATTAAAATAAATAATAATCTCAGAATTGTGTAGCATGGAAGCTGCAATTTACTTCCAGCTATAGCAAGTCTTTTTTTATATGGAATTATATGTATACTAAGAATGAAACACAATCCCTTCTAATTTTATTGATTGTTTTAGATACGTCACACTATTAAAATGAAAGACATTTTTTGTAACTGTTCAATTTTATTTTAAGTGATTGAAAACATTTCTTAGAATTAAAGTCGATATTTGTGTTTTTTAATGAATTAAACCGTTAAAAACTTTAAAAAAATATTTTGGGTAGTTTTATAGCTTTTAGTGATTATCATATTTTGCAATAATTGTACATCATCGAAAGAAACAGTATTCGGTATTGAAAAAAAATTATTTTTTCAACATCCATTATGCTTACTCGTTGGTTTGTATAGCCGTATTCGATCTGTAAAAACGTGCAGTTTTTATTACTGTGGCGACTATATGCTCTTTCAACATAAAATGACAACCCGAAATTAATATTCTGTTACAAATATCTTGCCTCTCTCCATGTAATTATCTACGTAATGTGTGATGTCTAAAATTAATCAAGTAATAGAAACATTATATATACTTTTTAAATCAAATCCTTTTAAATATTAAATTATATATATTTACCTTTCGCATAATATGAAGAACTTTGTAACTTTCCTTCTTGACTCCACAGCACGTATTCCACAACCGATTCGTAAACCGCTATATAGGAAAAATGAGAATGTAATTAGCAGGATGTAATTAGCACGATCAATCGTGCTGATGTGGCGCATTGAGAACTCTTTGAGATTACTGCTAGACGTTAGCGGTATGAAGGATTACCAGATACGTAGTTATACCAGAAGCTATCTGCGAAAATAACGAATGAAAAATTTATCAAGGTATGAAAAATCTCCGAAATAATTTTATGCAGCGACGGATTAAATGAAACCAACTGTAACAATCTCGGATTACTGATTCTAAAATCTTTATATTATTCTTTATAGTATTCTTACCGAAAGAAGCAATGGAAGATCGATGCGTATGATTCCATAAGAAGCAAAAAAATGTACTTGCTGTAGCTGGAAATAAGTAACAGCTTCTACACAGCAATCCTGTAATTATTAAAAAAATTATTTATTTTAATTAATATTTAATAAGAAAAATTAGTTTTCTAGAATCTAGAATAAAACATTAATTAAATAAATAAATGACGTATTTTATAAAAGATTCAAATTAGAGTTAACTAAATTAACAAAACTTTTATTTTTACCTGCATAAAATTTTTCTTAACAAGAATGGCAGACGATGGTGTAAAGGCAATCTTCCCAACACGATTAGCCTTTGAAAAAAGAACAAGAGATAAGCTCATCAGTCACATAGCGAGAGACCTTTCCTGCTCGAGGATAAATTAACGTACTTGGGTTGCAGTCATATGACAAATGATGGTAATGATCAGCAGATTTGTCACACAAGCAGACACCAGTAAAATTTCTCTCGCTATCAACAAAGGTTGTAAGATCGCGCCATTATTGATCGTATAGATGCGTGTAAGTGTATTGAAGGACATACAAAAGATCCATAGCAAAAGCTGTATCGAGTACACGGAGTTTATCATCTCGGTCGCATTGGTAAGACACGAATGCAACCACCACACTTCTTGCAAATGAAACTGCTTGTCCAAGCGATCCATCACCATGATTTTGCCATCTGATTAAACATACACGTTGCGTGTAATTATTCTTGAATGTTAATTAAAAACAATTTGACTGCTACTTGTACTTAAAGAATTATTAATTATGTACATTAAGTCCTACTTATATATGTGTAAAATGTATTAAAGATTGCAGTGTATACAATCGTATAGCTGCATTTGATAAATTCCATTCACATAAAAAATAAATTTAATAAATATATATTTTATATTTTTTTTTATCTCTCTCTCAAATGTCTCTTAAAAATAACATTTCTCTAATTTTACTTGACATTAATTAAACTTATTTCTGTTATTTCATCGAAGGTGTTATTCGCATTTAAAATGAGTCAATGTCATTTATTTTTCAGAGTTTCGATCCTCAGAGTTATCCTGTCTTCATCGGTTGAACTGCGTGGGAAGGTAGACATGTTGGTACACAGACAGTAAACATTGATAACAAGTAAACGGCGAACGTGTTTCAATAAAACATTAAAATTAAAAAAACTTTCAAGAATAAAATAATTAGAGAGTTAGAAAGCATTAGAAAATAATAGCTCTACATTATTAAATTTTTTAAAAGGAAAAAGATGATGGATCGATTCAAATTGCGATGAACAAATCTTTTTCTCTTAAAAAATTCTTTTTCTTTACGTTTCCACGATCTTGTATGTAAATTGTGATTAGTAGATAAAAATTGTTAGGAATACAACAAAGTTGCAAATTAAAAAATAATAATATAAGCGAATTATTAAACGATATCAGCAAATTATTAACGCATTAGTAAACGCTATAGACATACCATTTTTTGCAATTAATCTACCTTCGGGCAGAAGCAACGATTCACAAAGACGATGATATCTCTCGTACAGAAGAGATGACAGACTGGCGAATGTTATTAATTGCATCGTTAGCGTTGTGTTAACAACAGCATAAGTTATACCGTTAAACACAGAGTCTTTGGGCTCCACGCTACGAATGAAAATTACGAATAATAGTATAGTCGTACAATAAAATTGATCATGAAACAACATGAATTTGCGAAATAATGATAAAACATTATTAATACGATCTTGTTTCTAATTTTCTAATGATTAATATTAATTTTACTTTCGTATTTATTACTATAATTTCATATTTTCTAAAGTGATTACATATAAATGTTTACAAATTACTTCAACATAAATTGATTTGATATAATTATATCGCTTACATGTATTGTTGCATACTACAGTTTTTAAGAAATGTATACAGGATGTCCCGAAATTTTTTGCTAAGCGCTCTTGTGTAGAGCGGACTAAAATGAGTCAAAAAGTTCTCTACCACTTTGCAATTTTCGCAATAGTTAACAAGATATTAATTACTAAAAATCATTGAATATTGGTTTTCAATAATTTTTTACTCAAATACTATCAACTTTACAGAAAAACAGGGAGAGACAAAATTATTTTCTTCTCATAAAGTTCTGAGAATTTTTTCAGAATTTTTTAATACCGCATTTTCTCGTGTTGATAAAAATAGTTAATTATAATAAATAAGAAAACGCAGTACTAAAAACTTGATAACAAATTCTGAAAAAATTCTTAGAGTTCTACGAGAAAAAAATAAACAATTTTTGTCTCTTGCAGTTTTTCTGTAAAATTGATAGTATTTGAGAAAAAAATTATTAAAGACCAATATATTCGGCAATTTTTATAAGTAATTAATATCTTGTTAACTGTTGCGAAAATTGCAAAATGGTAGTGGAGTTTTCGACTCGATTTAGTCCGCTCTACACAAAAGCGCTTGACAAAAATTTCGGGACACCCTGTATTAGTCATCAAAAAATATTAGCGTTTAAAATAAATTTTTCTCTCTTCTGTTTGAAATACATTTTAAAATTTATATAATAAAACTCGTTCTTTCGTATTGTTATCACACATGCCATGTCATTCTTGTTATAATATTGTAAAAACTGTAATTCTTACCGTATCGATATGTTTAGAGAAGTAAGACAAGATTTTTACATTAAAAATACAAGTGTAAAGGCTCGAGTGATATGCAATCCAATGAATAAAAAGAAAAGCCTATAAGAGCTGATACAGGTTTATCATGTGTAAAAAATACCTATAATATATATTAATAAAAATCTAAACGTTTCGACCATATTACCCGGTAAAAAATTTTTCATGCACGAATATGTATAAATATGTATAGACATACATAAACACGCATAAATATTCATAAACATGTATAATTATATATGAGATAAGTCCATACATGTTCATACATCCTTTTTTCTTTTGTAAAACTATTTTTTAGTGTAATAGAAATAATAATAGTAATGTGAAAACACAATAAAAAGAATTAACAAGATAATTTTCGCACATTTGTTTTAGAAAAAATCAAGTTTGAAGAAATGTAAAAAAATTACTTACGTATAATTATATTGTACAATATATAAAATTATGCATAATTGTATATGAGCAATTTTTTTTATATTTTTCCAAATTTGTTTTTTTCTAAAACAAACAATCCGCAAATTATCCCTTTCATGATTTTTTATGTTTTCACATTACTATTATTATTTCTATTATACTAAAAAGTAATTTTACAAAAGAAAGAAGGAAGTATGAACATGTATGGATATATTTCATACATAATTATATATACTTATGAATATTTCTGCGTGTTTATGTATGTTTATACATATTTATACATATTCATGCATGCAAAATTTTTTACCGAGTATTTTGGTCATCTTCAGTAACTGACTCAATATAAACTGTACGCTATTAAAATGAGACGTTTGGTAAATTTACAATAATAAAGATGTGTCCAAATTTAAAATCTTGAAAAGTCATAGTATTTGTTTAGATACTGTGTACGTGAGTCAATCGATAAAATGATACCATTAATATCGGCTGTACGTACTTTAGTATGAGAATAATGCGTGGCATTACGAAGGTCCGTTACCAGTTATCGTACCAGAACAAAATGTGTTTTTACATTAGCTACCATCTTAACAATGAATTAAAATCTAACATAAGTTTATAATGTATAGTGTGTATTTTTTGATAGATGACAAAATTTGTCTAATTATTTGTTTTGTGGCATATAATCTTTAAAATCTTTTTGTATTAGGATGTAACCGCTTTATATTTATTTTACCAACATCGAGAATGACGTTCTGATTGTTAATCGAAACGTATATTGTATTTCATCACAAACGTTATTAAATATTCGCAATTTCAATGTATAGGTTTTGCTCTTAGCTCCTTTACATTTATTAATGTTGTCAAGATATTATAATTAAATAATTTTTTGTTAATTGTAATAAGAATTATGTATTATTATTATTCTTTTTTGATACCTGCTTACATAAAATTTGTTAATACTCACCAGAACGTTATATATCCAACTATTGTCCAAAACGATAACATAACAAAGATCAATAACCAACAGACATAACGAATCATGTGAGGGTATTTAGGCTCCTTATATTTTATTGTACGATCAAAAATGCGTAAATGCGAAAGTGCAGCTCGTATTTTCCAGTTATAACAATACGTCATCACAATGTCACTTAAAACGCAACTATACGAGAGACCTGTTCTCACCACAGTGAGCATCAGCAGCCTCGGTCCAATCATGTCGTCCCAACGGAGCATGTAAATATTCGCGATGCAAAGACTAACATACAAGAGTGCAAATAGAACCGAATAAATAGTGCTGTACTCCATCATCATAATATCGTCCTCCGTAACAAGAAAAAGTCCACATCCAAACAGTCTCGCAATATGCAAAAGAGGTCGTATGTCACTCAAAGACACCATTTCCTATTATCAATTCTGACGTTCGAAAATAACAAAGAACAAGAAAAAATAAGAAAAGTTCACGTTGAAATCTTCTTTAACATTTTTATTAATTGCTTGATTATTCTTCTTATTCTCTTGTTTTTATGACTCTTTTAAGAGCCACTTAAAACAAAAAATTGCAGTGCCGAGTCCGATAAATCACAACACATTTTTCCTATATTTGATTTAAAAAAAAATTTTCTCTATTTTTTTAATTCTAACGTTCAATAATAGAAAAATAGAGAATGCTCTCCTAAGTTCTTCTACTTAGCCGCTCCAATAGTGATATCAGTAAAATAAATGGAAAGCTTGCTGAGCGCATGGCCTTTCCAATGATTCACACCCCACGATATTAATTTGCCACCATGATAGCGTAAATATTATCGTAACGAACAATTAACACCTGTCTCGTTCAAAAATTTCACAATGTGACGTTCACTACCGACTGCCTTTTATTCGTCACGATTACAATTTTCTGGGTTATTGCTGCCTATTTACAGAGAAGAAAAAAAAATCGACGCAGTCACGAAGGGTTTTAGCGAGCACGCGCCGAGCGTCGTACTCATCATTATAGATGCCTTCCATTTAGTGACACAAGTTGACACAAATATCATTCTATTTTTCTTTGCATTTTATGAGTAACAAAGACAGATTGATACTTGTGTCACTAAATGGAAGGCACCCTTGCTGATAATCACGATTAGATATTAAATGCTCCATTATTAACAAGCCACAATATGAAAAAATTACACTAAATGACCAGAATGAAATATAAATAAATCGAATTTATACTCGAAAAGAATGTCTTGAATTACAAATAAGTTACAAACAAATGTTGCCATCTTTTCCTATAAATAGATATAAAATTAAAGAGAGATATAATATTTTTTTATAAAAATATGAAATAGAGATAAAACCTGCGTAAATATCATGCGTGAAAAACAATTTTAATCACTGATAAAAAGTGCCATATTAGCACTAGAACCTAACCTAACTTAGACTATATAGTCTAGGGGCGATAAGTTAGGGGGGCGGCATTTTTTGAAAAAAAGTTCTAAAAAAATAATTCTTTTTTTGCCATGCAAATGATTGAAAAAATTTTTTATTGATTACTAGAGGTTTGCTCGCGTCGCATACTCCAATATGCTTCTATTATAGCTTCTATTCACTTCAACAAGCGTATTGAATCAAAAAAACGTATACATATAGGTGTTCCAAATATGGATTTTTATGAAGGTGTTTTAAAAAGGTTCGGACACTTGAATATCTTAAAAAAATGTAAATTTTACAGAAAAGTGCTTCAGACAAAAGTTGTAGGATTCAAAAAGATCTATTTACTGATCTTATCAGTTTGACCTTGGGTGGCGTCACCAAGATCAGATCAAGGTTACATCGATTTTTTTAAGTGACAGACTCTATTTTTTATTCCAGAATCTAATAGCTGATGTCAAGAGCTTTTCAAAACTCTGTAATAAAGTTATTTTTTATAAAATACTTTTCGAGTTATAAGGTTTGAAAGTTACAGTACCACCGGCATTAACATTACGCAAGATATCTGACCGACGGCTAAAATCTCTTGTATACTGTTCAGAATCATGTCCTGGATAACATTTGTTGAGATCAAAGTCATTGAAGATTGTTTCTCTTATTTTCATTATTTTTGCACTGAAAATTTATTTTTATGTAAAAGAAAATAACTTTACGGTCCCTACAGATGACCCTTTTTTTTTTAGTACTCGTTTCGCTGACGTGGTTCTTCAGTTGAAGAAGGAGCGGCAAAAATTCATTGTCTATAGAGGCGGCAGAAATCTTAATTCGAACCTGCTGATAAGATTTGTGCGGCAATACAACAGAAGAAGGTTTTACACATATATATACTTACATATAGATTTATATATAAATTACTATTCATGTAGCATTGTAACTTAATATATACCATATATAGATGTGAGAAATAGAAATTCCACTAGAACAATGACGTTGCACAAACAGAAATGTGAGTTTTTTCTCCATAAACGTAGCATAAATCAACATTTACACATCAAATGAAAAGCATAGGACAGCAACCATGTAAATCATTAGCGCTTAAAAGCCAATAGAAATGAAAGAATTGGAAAGAACAAGGGTACTAGGAGTCAGGCGCAGAATACGTCGCGGAAATAATTCACCTATGGAGCGTTCCAATAGAAATGATTGATCGACCTGCACGTATATTACATATAATATATATACATATATGTATTAGGTGTACAACTTTGCTTCCACCGTTTTCCTATAGATGGCTTAAGCGATAAGTGGTGGTCGAAATAAATAGATCATAGACGTCATACAATAAACTTGGGCATCTGTCAACATAACCCCATAGAAACATTAGTCGATTTGTGTCTGCATCATAAAGTTATTCTCGATTGAAAATGTCAGTTTACGAGCCAAATTCTCGTCATTTGCGGGAGGTTTTAATTTTCTGCTTCAATATGAATAAATCTGCGGCTGAGGCTCATCGAATGCTCTGAAATACTTATGGTGAGGCCGCTATTAGTGAAAGAACGTGTTGTGAGTGGTTTCAACGCCTCAAGAACAGTGATTTTGACGTCGAAGACCGGCATAGCGGTGGAAGAGAGGTTTTCGAAGATGCAGAATTGGAGGTATTACTTGATCAAGCCCTTATGGAAAGAGACACTAAAAATTTCGAATAAACACTGAAAATTAAGTGTTAACACTTCACTTTGAGTGTTAACACCTAATTTTCAGGTGTTAACACTCAAAGTTGAGTGTTAATACTTAATTTTCAGTGTTTTTTTGAAATTTTCAGTGTCTCTTTCCGTAAGGGAAGCAGTGATGCACATTTGACTCCCCGGCAACACGAGAATCAGCCCCATCACTCTCGCTGTCTTGCTCGCTCTCGCGCAGCGGCTTCGCGAGAGGGAGCGAGAC